GTAGAATTTTTCGTTTTTATTAAAGTTATTTAAATTGAGATGCATACCAAGCCTAGATCGCAAGCAGCTGTTCACTGTTGTCACTATCGATAAATAACAATAGCCACAGCCATCGCTTAAGAGGTGTCATTACATTTGAGTGCTAACTGTAAACAAATGTCCTAAAAGAGTGTTTAATGAAAAAAGAGTGTATATAGTGTGAAAATAATTATGAAAAAATGTCAGACCTTAATCGGATATTCTATGAGCTTAAGTCGGAGTTCGCGCAAAATGTGGAATGGACTGATGTTGAAGATTGGCATTGCGATGATGACGACCAGTTGACAGAACAAAGAGCCCAAAAATTCTGGGCATTGCCCATGTGCCAGCAGGATTTGCAACGACAGGATAATCAATTGCAAACTCTACGGGAACTGGCGCAATGCATCAGATTGATGCGATCAACTGATATCGAGAGCGACATCAGATTCGATATTGTCAATGACAATTGGGCTAAAATCGAGAACATTGCGCCCAAGGATTATTTGACATATATTTATGCACTATCGAGTCTAGCGATCTTGCCACACGACTTGGTGCAACTTGCTCCTCAGACAATAAATGAGAATGTCAACGTCCATCTGGCACTCAATGCAGTTAGCACGTATTTCCTAAGCCTCACCATTCCAGGTGCTAAAAGTTACGGCGTGTTCGACGAGGGCGTCATCGAGCACTGTCTCCGTGTCTTTCGCCTGCTGGAAAGTTATTCCAATTCCAGTCCGCTAGCTAACAATATATGGATATTATTTCTAACGATTTGTGATGATCTCAAACTCGTCTTTCGGTATGTCCACTTCAAGGATCACCTAAGGCCACGCGATAATATAGTGCGTTGCCTGCTGACCATACTCTATATGAATTTCAGACATGGCTATGGTAATGCATGTGAGTATTATAACAAATTATTTCATATTTACATATATGTCTTTTGTGCCATTTTTTGCTAAAAACTTTAAAAGGTTGAAAGTATACCAAGTTAAGTAGTAAATTGCTTTGATGACAAATCAGTCTAAGAAATTTATTAAATTACGATAAGTCGGAATATCATTTAGAATATCGTAAATATGTGTGAATTTAGCATTAAGCGTAAGCAATATGCGTAATTTACAATACTTTGGCTTAGCTTAGAATGTCTTAAATTACGATTAAAGTGAGGAATAAGCTAAAACCCGTGAATGCATAAATCACTTAATTTCTGCGCATATCTAATAGATTTCTCCTGTTTGTAAACACTTAATATGCCAACCGGTATTTATTGTGTGTACACACTGGCAGCTGGCCAACAGCTGTTTTATAAGGGAAAGATTATACAAACGGTTGTGAAAAGAACTGTAAATTGTTAATAACAATTTCAACAAAAAGTTTTAAATGTTACGCACATTTGGCTCTTTGCGCGTGCACTGCCAGCAGCTGCTGAGGCAGACGAACAATCAGAACCTGACGACGCGAACGAGTCGCAAACAGTCAACACTTGGAGGCAACCGCAGCGATCCAGATGCAGCACGCAAATTACGCTCAAAGTCTACACTGTACTACATAACTGCAGGCGGAGTGCTGATTGTGGGATTCAGCTATGCCGCTGTGCCACTATACAGCATATTTTGTCAAGCATATAGCTATGGTGGCACCACCTCGCAAGGTCATGATACCGAGCAGGTGGAGCACATGGTGAAAGTGAACGATCGGGTTCTTAAGATACGCTTTAATGCCGACATTGGCTCCTCCATGCGCTGGAACTTCAAGCCGCAGCAGTATGAAATTAAAGTTGCGCCCGGCGAGACGGCACTCGCCTTCTACACGGCCAAAAATCCGACTGACAAGCCTGTGGTTGGCATTAGTACCTATAATGTGATACCCTTTGAGGCGGGTGCATATTTTAATAAAATCCAATGCTTTTGCTTTGAGGAGCAAATGCTTAACCCTCACGAGGAAGTGGATATGCCTGTGTTCTTCTACATTGATCCAGAAATCACGCAAGATCCGGCGCTCGAGTATTGCGACACCATTACACTATCCTACACGTTCTTCGAGGCCAAAGAGGGCTTAAAACTTAACTTTCCCACATATGCTAAACCTCATGCAGCTAGTGCATAAAATATTCTCTGTACAAATATTTAAAATAAATCGTTGTTAACTTTTTAAAGAGCAATGTTATTTTTGAAAATATAAATCAAAGATGACCATCCACAGGCTGAGAAATCGATTACATGCTAAGTTTGACCATCGATAGTTAAAGTTGCTGTTTACGATAGCACGACAACTCCTGAATTTACAAATCGATATGTTATCGTTATTCATTAACTCATTATAAACATATGGCGAGCGTTCAATGAACGCTAACAGCAAGTATAAAAATAGATTCCGGGCAGACAGTCGATCCGCACTTGTCCAGCAGCCGCAGCCGCCGTCGTATCCGTTCATTTGACCTATTTGAACCTAAACAT